CAGACTCATAACTTGGTTCCCAGGAAATTAAATAGTTTGATATAGTTCTCTTTTTATTTATTTATTTATTTTTTTGGTCTTTTTGAAACAAGGTCTGTAGACTAGGCTGGCCTTGAACTCACAGAGATCTGCCTGCCTCTACCTCCCAAGTGCTGGGACTACAGGCATGCCCAGCTTTAAATATTTATTCTATGTGTATGGGTGTATTGCATATGTGTGAGTGCACCCGTGTTTTGTAGTGCCCTCAGAGGTCAGAAGAGGGCACTGGATCCCCTGGAACTGGGGTTATGAATGGTTGTTAGCCACCATGTGGGTGCTGGGAGCTGAACCTGGGTCCTCTGCAAGAGCAGCCAGTGCTCTTAACTGCTGAGCCATCTCTCCAGCCCAGTTTGCTATATTTCTATCCGACCACATTAAGAAAAAGAGACAGAAGCCAGATGTGGTGGCGCTCAACTTTGATCCTAGCAATTGGGAGGCAGAGGCAGGCAGATCTTGTGAGTTCAAAGGCAGCCTGGTCTCCATAGCAAATCCAGGCTAGGAGGGGCTATCGGAAGACTGTATCTCAAAAAGACAAAAAAAAACCAGAAACAAGAATTATTATCTCATTTTATACACTGAGAGACTAAAGATGTAGACAAACTGTCATCTGCTTGGGCCACTAGACTCCAAAAATGATGGAGCCAAGACTTAAACCCAGACTGTCTGACTCCAAATCATTGCTCTTACTGCAGGGAAGGAATGAAGCAAAAACCCTACTCACAATGATTAGTGAGGGATGAAATAAACAAAAACTATTGCGTTTCTTATAAGAGGATGCTGTCAGATCCTAACTTTTCTTTGGGTAAAATACAGATTGGAAACAAAAAATTTTGAGATAGGATTTTGTGGTATAGCCCAAGCTGGCCTCAAATGTCATCATGCCCAACTAATTTCCTTCTTATTTGGGGCTTTTGTTTGTTTTTCATTTCCTTCTTTTTAAAGGTTTTTTAAATGCATACACTTAAAATGAATACATTTCATTTTATAGATTTATAATATAAATATTCATATAGATGTATTACAATTAGATAGAAGATAGATAGATAGATAGATAGATAGATAGATAGATAGATAGATAGATGACAGATAGATAGATAATAGATTAGATTAGATAGAAGTGGAACAGAGGAACAGAGAGGTCTAACGGGAGGGGAGGGAGAAGATGGGATGGTGAGGCATCTGGGGATACGTTGTATACAACGTATACTTGCAAGAAATGTTTTAAATAACAAAAAGTAAAATACGAATTCTCAGATTGAAAAAGCGTGTCAAAGCCAAAGGTGGCTCAAGCCTTGCACTTGAAATAATAATAGTATTCATCATCACCATCACCAGCACCACCATCGTCATCATCATCATCATTCCAGCACTTGGAAGGCAAGGCAGAAGGACTGTGCTGAATTGGAGGCCAGTCTGGGTGCATGGTAAATTCCAGATAAGTCTAGGGTGCAAAGTAAGACCTTGTCTCAAAAAACAAGAAAGAAAGAAAGAAGAAAGTCTCACTTTTAGCCCTGACTTTTGGCACCAACACATATATGTACTGAATAGTAACCAAGATAATCCACGTGGATCCTGCACTTAAGGAGATGACAGACCAAGACAATTCAAGGAGAGTGCCAAAAGGAAGGTGCAGGCAACAGTCCCGATGTGCTTCACTGAAAGGTGTTAGTTTCCTGAAAAGACCACATTTAAAGAGCACTTGAGGGCTGGAGAGGTGGTTTAGTACCAGCTGTTCTTGCAGAGGACCCGGGTTTAATTCCCGGCACCCACACGGCAGCTAACAACTGTCCGTAACTCCCGTTCCGGGGACCAGACGCCCTCTTCTGAGCTCAGAAGACTTGGTGCACTTACACACGTGCAGACAATCTACTCATAAACATAAAATAAAAATAATAAAATTTAAAGAGCTGTTGAAGGACAGGTTTCATTGTTGACTCACTTGGCAGTGGAGGAGGAAAGAATATTCCTGGCAGAGAGAAGAGCAAAGGGCAGAAAAGGAATGAAAGTTAGGAAAGCACAAAGTGCCCATGGCTGGAACATAAGAAGTCAAGGGAGGGTGGAAGGAAGCCAGCCGGACTAGAGATCGGGAGCTGGAGTATCCGTGTCTTCGGGGTCTGTCTAGGCAATATAGCATCATGGCATGTTTCTCAGCAATCATTCAGATCTCTGCTTTAGAAAAATAAAAGCAGCAGCCATGCACTACATGGCTTGAAGTAGGTAATGCCTGCAGGCAGGGGACCTGGTCAGGAAGCTAATGCAGTGGTCAGGGTGACAAATGCCAAGGAAAAATAATAGGAGATTGAAGAAGAAAGATAGGACACTGAGCCATCTCTCCAGCCCTGTTCAACTTAACTCTTAATTCAAAGGTCCTCTTAATTCTAGGTATCATTACATTTCATTGGTTCAAGTCAGAAAAAAAGAGACTCTCAGGTCTCACCCCTCCAATTTCCAACAATTTACCCAAATGAGTTTTTTATTGAATTTTTGTGTATTCCACACAGAAAAGCATCTCTACACTCCCTTCCCCTTTGGCTCTCTCCCATAGCCCCTACCCCTGCACTCATACTGAAAACTTTAGTTTTTAGTTGAGGTTATATAGTCTACACAAAACTTTCTAGAGATCATAGCAAATCTCATAGCCTTGGCAGTGACCTTTTAAATGGTCTTTCCCTTTCATTATTGCTGTTATATAATTCACTTCCCAAGCCCAAGCCCAGATCCTGAGTAATATATGAGAGATGGGGTGGAGCAAGCTTGGAAAGGGTCTGTGAGCTCTGCTTCTCAGACTTTATTGTGCTTAAAAATCACTTGGGTACCCAAGAATAAATGGTACATCTAGGATGCAACCTCCACACCTAAGGCTCATGGAACAAGAGATGAAGAGAACACTAATGCTCCCTCAGGCAACAGAGGGCCAGGAACGCAAAAGGCCACAAACGGCCAAATCGCAGAAAATAAGAGTCTACAGAGTGTCCTATATTAAAATCTAGGACCAGGGATCATTGTGGAAGATGGGGCAGAAAGATGGTAAGGGCCAGGGAAGGAGGTGCATGACCATATGGAAATAGTCCTACAGGCTCCTGGGACTCTCCTCATAGGAACCTACAGCAATGGTGTCAGCATACACAAGACCCATGTAAACTTAAGCAGACAAAAACCCAGCACAGAATTATTGTCAGCTGATTACTGTTGGATGAGAATGAGATGACCTTAAAGGGAGGGAACTCTAGATAGACTGACTAGATCCCAGTGGATGAACTTGCACTGAGGGGACATCTGGGGGCACTAACTTTACATGATAGGCCTTAACACAAATGACAGAATAGATGAATTCCAGTGGGAGGGGGGGCGCATGGGAAGCGTGCCAAAGGGAAAGGGGGTGTAGAGATGATTTTCTGTATGGAATACACAAAAATTCAATGAGTACAGGCACATGTGTGATGACCTGAACTCAGGTCAGCAAATTTGGTGGTAAGGGCTTTACCTGTTCAGGTCCCTGAGCAATCTTTTTGTTTCTAATTAAAGTACAGCTTACATAAAGTACACAAATCTGAGAGCATATAATCTTATGTTGTTGTGCTTCTGAGGATTGAACCCAGGGCCTCTTGCATTTTAGGTAAGTGTTCTGCCATTGAACCATATCCTCAACCCTTTGTATCCTGTTTTCTAAAGGTATTTTGAAGACATTCCCAGGGTCCACAACTCCACTCCCCTCCCCCCACAGGGTCTCACTATGTAGCCCTGGCTGGCCTGGAACTCACTATGTAGACTAGGGTGGCCACCTGCCTCTGCCTCCCAAGTGCTGAGATTAAAGGCATGTGCCACCACCACAGCTTTTGTTACTGTTATTTTGATTTGTGGGGGGTCACAACAGTGTGGATGCTAGCACCTGAAATCCAAAGTACCACGTCCGGGTGTCCTGACTTATTTAAGACACTCTCCCGCGTGAGCTTGTGCTAGGCCACTGGCCAGTCACCCCAGCGATCCTCCTGTCTCTGCCCTCCACAATTCCGGGATTTCTGAGCCTCCTGCAACCAAGCCCAACCTTTTTTTGTAAACATGGGTACGAAGGACTCAAACTCGGGTCTTCCTGCTGAAGCAGCAAGCTCTCTTAACCACGGAACCATCTCTCCAGCCCGTTAAGAGGAAATGTAGCACAGGCTGACCTGGAACTCACTGTGTAGTCTAGGATGGCTTCCAGCTTTCAGCAACGCTCTAGTCTTAGCCTTATAAACCATGCTCAGCCACGCCCAGTTTGGCAGCTTTAAGGTCTCATTCTAAATATCACTTCCTCAGAGACCTTCCCAGAGTAGGCAATCTAAAACAGCGCCCAACCACCATTTATTCTATCACTTTACTTACATGAAGCGTTATCATTTGTAATATTTTATTTACGGTAGTTTGGTTCTAACTATAGTGTCTGTTACACAGTGCCTGGCACACGATTGTTGCTCACCTGTTTCACTTAATGAAACTAACACACGAACAAAACAATGGAGCATTAGCTAGAGGAAATGAGACGCTGAACCTAGTCAGGAAAACTGGACAATCAAGTGAAGGAAGAGTCCATGGCCGAGACGTGTTAACCTTTTTTTCCTTTTAAACACGCTTTAAATAAAACCAGATTTTCCACAGAATGCTGCGTGTGCTTTGCTTTTACTAAATGTGACTTCAAAAGAAACTCGGAATCTTCCCTCTGAGAAAAAACAATTACTGCACACCCATTCTAGATTCCAGACCCGGTTCCACGGAGTCTGCAAACACGCCAACCCACTACCCGGAAGTCCGTGTGTCGGGAGACCCCGCCCCGAGCGCAGCTCCAGCCTCACGGGTGCGCCTCGCCCCACGTAAAGCGTGGGGTTTCGCGACAGCTCAGGCCCCACCCCTTCGGCCACATGTCGCGCAGGCCTTCCGGTCGGACGCCGGACCACCTCCTCACGCTGCTTTACGAACCGAGGGCGGCAGCGCCCCACCTCCTGTCTCGGTCCTCAGCTCCCCGCCCCTCCTCGTTCCGCGTCTCTAGGCCCGTCGCGCCCGCTATAATCACGTGATTGCCTCATCCGGGTCCTTTGCGTTCTCTCTCCCTCTCCCAACATGGCGGCCTCAGGTGAGTGAGCGGCCGAGTGCGGCCAAGGACCAGGCTCTGAAACCAGCCTCGCGGCGTGACCCGATCCTTGCCGGAGTCTGGAGCAGGTGGCACCGGCCTCCTTCGGGCCTGGAGGCTGTGGCAGGCTAGCGGCATCGCGCGTTCCAGTACCGCCTCGGGATGTTTAGGGGGAGGGGAGGGCTCTTCCCCTCCCCCTCAAACCCTTTTCACCCCGTCTGCGCGATGTTGGAGTAGACAGTAATGGTGGACCCTGGCATCAATTGGAGGAGGCGCGGAGAGGGGTACGGGAGGCGAGGGGCCCTTTTGGACCTGAAGCAGCACGTCCGCGCGAAGGCGTGGAGGAAGAAGGCAGACGGTTGGCGCGCGGACCGGAGCACCTTAAACCAGGTCTCCAAGGCGCGAGGCCGTTGCGGACCCTAGTGGGGGGAGGGGGGGCAGTTAGAACGCGAGCGCGTGTTGAAGGGGTGGCGGAAGGCTGCGGTGCGCGTGCGCGGCAGGGAAGACGAGGCGAGTGGGGAAGGCGCGCCTTGAAAGCATGCGCTCGAGTCCAGATGGGAAGCCTTCATGGGCATGGGCTTTGCCCGTTTATGACCTTGTGCTTCACTCTTTAGCAATCTTTAGAGTGTGTCCGGCCCCTGTGCTTCGTTCTAGGGGCCGGTAGTAGGGGTGGAGATAGGCACTACTAGAGTTAGTTGGGGGCAGGGAGCCCAGGGCGGTTCGCCCACGTGTTAGTTAGAAGCAGCGGGGATGGACACTTAAGATTCCTCTATACCACCCGCACCCTCATTTCAACCCAGGCACAGTTGTGAAAGTGTTTCGAGCCGAAGTGGGGAGTAAGATCAGGTCCTTGCTGTTACAGAGCTTCCATTTTGATTGAGTTAGGGTAATTTCAGTGGCAAGATTCAACTTTTATTTTCTTCGTCGTCTTAGATGACTGTGGAACCTCTCAGAAGGTGCTATTAAAAATAGTTTGTGGGTCTTTTAAAAAAACACTTCGGGGCAAGTTTATTTGGGTTTGCAGTGGACCTGTAAGAATGCCAGTGGACTTTAACTAGCATTAGTTTTAGTTTGGGACATAGGTTTCTTTCTCCTTGCATGACTCCATTCTGTAAAAACACTTGCTGAATTGCTGTCTCTTAAACCCTAATTTATCTCAGTAAGGAATCAGAAACTAGAGTTACGGTTGTATTTGGGGAATAGCTAACTTGAGGTGCACTTAGGCATAAGAACTTCTTTTCCACTTGCAGTGCTGGGGATTGAACCCAGAGCTTTAGATGTACTTGCAAGCACTCTACCACTGAGCTATCTATCCATCCCAGCCCAGGGCATAACAGCTTTCATTGGTATAGCACTAATTGACCAAGCCTGTGTGTGTTGCCCTGTTAGGTCCTATGAGGTAATGTAAAGAATAAGTGGTACCTCCTAACTGAAGAAAAATGAGGCAAAGATTTGTTCAAGGTCACACAGCAGTTAGCTGAGCAGGATCAAAATCTCGGGGACTCCTGGCTCTTCTACCTTTTTTATTTTATTTATTTTTTTTTTTGCTAGTTCGGAAGTACTAAATGTCACACTAAGTTTGAGTTGCTGGCTAAAAGCGTCATCTAAAGCTTAAAAAAATGTATTTTAATCTATGAAAAGAGCTCATCTGGCATAAATTTACTACCTTGACAGCTTAGTATCTTTAGTAAAAATTTTAAAAGTGAAAGACATCATAGCTGTACTGGCCAAATGGCTCTGTGGGTAGAGTAGAGGCACTTGTCATCAAGCCTGAGTTGGATTTCCAGAGCCCACAGAAAGGAGAGAGCAGACTACAGTATTCTTTGTGTGTGTGTGTGTGTGTGTGTGTGTGTGTGTGTGTGTGTAATTGTCCCCTTCCATATTTACTTTCCGTGGAAGCCACCGTCTTTTTCAGTTCATCTGGGAAAATCTAGTTTGATTTGATGTCTCCACACAGGGTTACATCTTTGGCCATTTCCTCCTCAAGTTGCACTGACTTGAGTGGACAGTATGCCTGGAGTTGAAATGGGTCTTGGGTTTTCTCTATGCAAATACAAGATACAACTTAACAGATCTCTTTCACCATTAGATAAGACTAAAAAAATTCTTTAAAGCAGTACCAGTGTTCATTGACCTTCAATATATTAAAATGTCTTAGAAATGACAAATGAAGATAGTTGGAATAGTTTTCTAGGAAACTTGATACATTGAGCCTAGGCATTTACTTTTTTAATCGGCTTCTTTGAAAGAATACTTAAATATATGAGGTTTTAGTGGAACATAGTAGCTCACATCTGTAATCCCAGCACTCTGGCTGAGGCAGGATTGTCATGAGTTCCAGGCCATTCTGGACTACAATGTGAGATCCTGTCTCAAAAAAGCATCCATTTTTTTCATTTTTATTGTGGCTACTTGAATTGTTAAAGCCAGTAGAACTGCCTTTTGGTTCCCAGTTTCTTCATTTGTAAAGTTTACCTGCATGCCTCTTGGCAATAGGGAATCATGTTTGATACAGATTTACATAAAATTGCAGCTAGTACATGTAATCTCTGCTTATACCTTTTCACTTGCATAACATTTCAGTATGCCATGATAATGTCTTGTTTGATTTTTATAGTGAAAGGATAATATTAAGTGGGGCTTATATGGTACTGACCTTCATGGTTTAAACAGTTTCAGGAGTTAACATATTGTTTACAAATTACCTATTTTCAAAATCCCATCCTGTACCATGTATTTGTTGCTCTGCAAGGATGTTTAGATGGCCAAGGTAAAAGCATTATGAAAAGTCAATTGCAGAGGACTGTCAATTGTAGGAAAACAGTGTTTCTAAATAGTTTCATTGAAAAAGAATGTGTATATACAAGTGCTTACTGTGATTAGGAGCATATATAATGTTTAAGAGCATACTTTAACATCAGTGTCTTAGATTTATAATAGATATTGCTACAGTCCAAACAGTAGGCAAATGCCCAAAGCAAGAAGTTTAACTAGAATTTTTACAACTCCTTTTGAGTGTCCCTGGAGGAGAAAGGAAAAAGACTATATGGCAGTTGCTTTTGTCAAGATGAAGAAATTGGGCACAGAAGTCATGTAACTGAATGTAGGGGTGGAGGTAGAGCTTATTAGTCTGTCTTTATTCCCTGCTAAACTAGTGCAGTAAAGGTGGGGCTTACGTTGCATTGTGTGAAACTTGTCGTGGCTGAACTCTGAGAACAGCAAAATTAGTCTAGTTCTAAGTAATTTGTTATTTGTATGGATTCTTGAATTTATACAGTTTGTTTTGTTTTGTTTTTGGAGTGGGTCTCACTGCGTAGTCCTGGCTAGTGAACTCACTATGTAGACCAAACTGGCCTTAAACTTACAAAGATCCACCTGCCTCTGCCTTCTGAGTATTGGGGTTAAAGATGTGTGTTACCATTCCTGGCTTGGTTGGGTCTATTTTGTGTTTTGCTGGGGTTTGAACCCTGGGCCTTGCATATGCTAGGCACTCAGTTGGCCACTAAGCTACATCCCTGGGGTCACGGTTAGTATCTTTATGGAGACAGTAGACCATCTCTTAACTACCTAATTTGGAAATATTTCATCACCCCAAAAAGAAGCACCTTACCCCATTAGCAGTCACTTTCCTTTCTCCCCAGCTACTTTTCCTTTGCATTTACCCCTTCTGGTTTTATTTGTTTTAGTTTTGTTTTTGGAGATAGGGTCTCACTTTGTGCCCCTGGCTGGCCTGGAACTCCTAAAGACCCCCTTGCCTCTGCCCAGCCTCCCAAGTGCTAGAATTAAAGGTGTGTGCCACCACGCATGGAGGATTTGCCTCTTCTCAGTCTTCATTTTGTAGCATGTGTCAGTACTCCTAACTTGATTGCCAAATAACATTCCATTGTACAGATAACGTTTTATTATTTGGTGGGCATCTGGATTGCTTCTCTTTTTCAGATACTGTAAATACAGCTTCTGTAACCATTCTGACAACTTGGGGGAGGAGTCAGTTTTTGTCTACTCTATGGGTTCCAGGGATTGAACTGAGGTTGTCATACGTGGTGGTAAGCACCTTTACCCACTAAGTCATCTCGCCAGCTCCTGTACAGGTTTTTGGACCCTTTCCTGACTTTCTTAGCTTACTTAGTTACCAGCATACTCCAAAGAATAAATGAAACTTACCAAGATCTAAACTTAAACATAATTTTTGACAAAGCCTCATATGACTGTTAAGAGCTACATATAATTCCTTTTCCAGATATGAAGATAATAGCTTTTAAAAGGTGGCAGAAGTAGGGCTGCAGTTAACAAGTAAGATTTGTTGTTTATACTTTGGGGATGAGGGGAGGTGTCCAGCTACGCAGCCCAGGCAGGCGTCAGATCAAGGTGATCGTTCTGCTTCAGCCTTCCAAGTGCTTGGATTACAGGCTTGCCCCGCCATGCTCACCTTGCTTACACTATTTTAAGGTGTCTCATCTTTGGGCATAAAAAGTCAGTAGCCAATCTAGGTTTTTACAATTTCTGGTATCTTTTCATACTTTTTGTTTTACTTTTTGGGGGCAGGATTTCATGCTGTTACCCGGGCTGGCCTTGAACTTTGCACAGTCTTCATGCCTCTCCTGAGCCTTTTAAGCCTTCTTTTATTGAAGTGAAAATATTACATAGAGCAGTGACTCTTAGACTAGAGATAGAGCTCAGTGGTAGAGTGCTTATCTAGCATGCAGAAGGCCATGCGTTTGATTCCCAGCACCTCCAGAAAACAAGCAGAAAGCTTAACCTGTTATTGGGCATGGTGGCAAATGCCTGTAATCTTAGCATTTGTGAGGCCATAGAGGCAGGAAGATTGTTTTGAGTTCCAAGCCAGCCAAGGCTGCATAGTGAGCTGTCTCCAAAAAAGATGTGAAAGATCTTGATTGAAAAATTAAGTTGATTATGTTACATCTTTTTAATATTTAATATTTTAGAATTTTATATATGAATACACTGTACTTAACATCATTTCTACCCCTTCAGATCCTGTGTCTTCATTCCCTCTCAAATTCATGACCTGTTCTACAATTATTATTGCTACATAAATATATAAATATGTGTGTGTACATGTATATATATATATATATGCAGCCTGCTGAGTCCTTAGTTTAGTTATGTCTGTCTGGTTTTGGTTTTGTTTTGTTTTGTTTGAGACCAGATGGCCTCAAACTCACTCTGTAGACCAGACCAGATTGGCCTGGAACTCACAGAGATCTGCCTGCGTCTGCCTCCCGTGTGCTGGGATTAAAAGTGTGTGCCACCACACCGGCTCTGGTGTTATCTTTCTGTAACAGCCTGTTGGACCACAGCAGGTGCTGGGGATATAATATAGTTCAGTTATAGAGTGCTTGCTTAGCATGTGCAAAACTCTAGATTCAACTCAGTACTACACAGTAAAACAAAAAGGCACAGGAGGGTATGGTGGCATGCCTATAATCTTAGTACTGGGGAAGCTGAACCAGGAGTTCCAGCCAACCTGGGTCACATAGTGCCCCTCCTCAGAGAAAACAATATATTGACAAGGTCTTCTGTGCTTAAACACAGTAGTTATGGAAACGATTTTGTGTGTGTGTGTGTGTGTGTGTGTGTGTGTGTGTGTTTTTTTAAGACAGGGTCCCCCTGTACCCATAGCTGGCCTGAAACTCACAGAGATCCGCCTGCCTCTGTTGGGACTAAAGGCATGCACCACCATGCCTGGCTGGAAATGATTTATTTTTAAGGAATTGGGTTTAACCTGACAATATGCTCACACACTAGGGTCCATGTGGGACAAATTTGTTTTGTGAGGTAATCGATTTGTTAACTAATTTGTGTAAAATTTATGGGGCATGAAAGATGAAATTGTGTGTGTTCGAGGTGGTACAGCCTTAGAACAGAAATGAGAGAATTGGACCAGTTCAGTCATTGCAGCAAGGTGTTCAGGAAAAATTAAAGCTTACAAAAGGAACACAGTTGACATATTTCTTAGGTATGTGTATGGGTATATGCACATGAGTGCAGGTACCCGCAGAGGTTAGAGGCATTGGATCCCCTATAAGCTGGAGTGGTTTAAGGTGGTTGTGAGCAGCCATCATGGGAACAGACTCCTATCCTCTGTAAAAACAATAGGACACCGAGACATCACTCCAGCCCCCATAGCTAAAATCTTAAACATGTTAAGGCCTAGGAGCAAAGGGCATGGATGATTTAGATAACGTCTTTTCTCAGTGGAATGAAATGGGATGGGACAAGCATTGGCACCCTGCTGAGTTTATTGATTTTGCTTTTAGGATCTGCTTGTCCAACATTGGCTTCTCAGCGAGAGTGTACAAGGGAGGACGTAGTGACAGTCATAGAAGCAAGGAAAGTTTATGATTTGAAGAGGATCTTACCGGGCGTGATGACGCACGTCTTTATTCCCAGCACTTGGGAGGCGCAGAGAGGCAGGCGCATCTCTTGAGTTCGAGGCTACAGGGAGACCTCCTCTCAAAAAGACCAAAATAAAAATAAAAAAAGGATCTTAAACAGTAGCCATGCCTGGTGGTGGTGCATGCCTTTAATCCCAGCACTAGAGAGGCAGAGACAAGCAAATCTCTGGGATCAAGGCCAGCTTGGTCTAAACAGCTAGTTCCATCCTGGCCAGCTGAGACTATGTCTCAAAAAAATAATAGTTTAATATGTTTTACTCATGTTCTTTAGTTTATTTTATAATATCCAGTAATATTAACGAAGAGTGAGACTTTTGTCTAAAGAATCAAGAGGTTAAAGAGTTGAGAAACCCCAATACAAAGTTGATTTAAGCCAAATCAGATCAAAGGGCTGGTTAATTCCAGATTTCGCTCTGGTGGTATAAGATAATGTATACAGAACGATGGAAGGTGAATACCTGAAATTTTAACTGTTATATTGAACTTGGTCCTCATTACTTTACTTGAAGTACAGCTTTACTCGTTTTACATCATTTTTATTCTCCCAGTGGCAGAAATAAGTTAATGGAATAGATACTATCTAACAATAATAGTTTAAGCCCTATGAGGGTTAGGATCTCTGACAAGCATTATTCTAATACCTTAAAATACAGAAAATATAGAAAATGAAGACTAAAATAAACCTTTGTACCATAAGCATCCTACCTCAGATCTTGTACAAATTAGTTTATTAAAAGCTAATTCAATTGGTAGAGTACTTGCTTAGCATGCATGAAGCCCTGGGTTCAATTCCTAGCCCTGCCTAAGCCTGGTATGGTACATACATACCCTTAATCTAGCAGTGAAGGAGGTAGAAGTTCAAGGTCATTCTTGGCTGCATAGGGAGTTAGAGATCAGCCTGGGCTGCATGAAGTTTGTCTTAAGGTGGGGAAGAACATAGATTGTTTACATATGAATTGGGGTATATCAGTGATTTAGGTCTTAACTTCTGCATAACCATTTTGAAACTAGATTAGTGTTGTTATTTGGGGGTAAAAACTTGACATTAATTAATGCCATCTTTTCTTTATATTTTTGTAGCCATATTCATTTGGTTTGCACATTCAGACCTTGATACTTGAGTATTGTTATATTGTGCCCATAAGACTGTGTAACATTCATAGCAGATAGGTCACTATTTTCTGACAGTTGAATTTGAGAAAGCAACTTTCTGTTAAGCAGTGGCGTATCAGATTTAGATAGTCCTCTTGAGTTGAAATACAGATGAGGCTTGGAAGATGGAGGAAGAGTCCATGACTGTAAAAATCATGGAGCTACTTAAGTTTTGGAGATGGGAGGGAGATTTCCTCACTATTGCCCAGGCTGGACTCAGACTTGTAATCCTGCTATCACAGTGCTGAGATGATAGGCCAGCACACCCAACCTTAACAGTTTTTCTTAATTATGTTATGGCCCATTCTAGAATTATTCTTGGTCACTTCTATTCTTCTGAATTAGCTATTAATTATGCCATATTTGAAATTCTGAGGCTAAAGAGCCAAGGTCTGGCCACAGAATTGAGTTATTTGAAGATTGCTAAGTATTTCATAACCATGAAAAATATTGAAGTGTGTTGGTTGTTGTGGTTCTCTAGCATTTTCCTCTTAGTGTCATACTTCAAATTAAGGTAAGAAAGAAGGTAGATTTAAGCTGTATTAGTACTCTTAGAGTTTTTTTATTTTTGTGTCTGTGACTGTATTGCCTGCATGTAAGTACACCCATGCATATAATGGAGGCCAGAAGAGGGTGTTGGATCCCCTGGAAGTAGTCACAGTTGTTAGCCACCACATGGGTGCCGGGAAGCGAACCTGGGCCCTCTAAGAGAACAGCTAGTACTCTTAACCTCTGAGTCATCTCTTCAGCCCCCAAAGTGTATGACTCTAAACTGATCAAATGCTTCCAGATAACACGTAAGTGTATAGCACAGCATTTTACCAGGTTATGATAACCTGCCATGAAAGTTGGGACCCATGTTTGCTGTCATGTGAAGAGCCCTGAGCAACAGCAAATGTAGTATCAAAGTAGTTTCTCACTGGGCATGGAAGTTGTACACCTTTAATCTCAGCATTTGGGGACAGAGGTGGATCTCTGTCAGTTAGAGGCCAGCCAGGGGCTACATAATGAGACCCTGTCTTCAAAGTTCCTAAGTTCAAATTTTCAAATGTGTCTTAGCTCGGTGGTAGAGTGTGTGTCTCATATTTGCCAGGTCCTGGGTTAGATCCCCAGCATCACATGAGATCTCAAATACTGAGGTAGGTGAGTGAGTGAGTGAGTGAATACAGTAAGATAGAAAAGATGTTCCCATCACAGTCCTGCTTCCCACAGAGTACAGAGTACTTGTCTGTTACTGAAGTTCAGGGCTAGGACAGGAGACAGGGTCTCATATCCTCAGCTGGCCTCAAACTTATCCTGTAGCTAAGGGTGACCTTTAACTTGTGACCCTCCTTACCTACTGTGTGTAGTATCACATGAGTTTATGCTGCTACACCCAGTTGATACAGTGCTTGGGACTGAACCTCGGATTCGTGCGTGTTAGCTTTGCTCCAATTTGAGCTACAGTCCCTTCAATATTTTTGAGACATTGTCACACTGTGTTGTCCAGCGGTCTTGAATTCACACCATTCCTGTCAGCCTTCCAAATGGCTATTGTGCTTGACTTTCCTGGACCATTATATTGTCTCCTCTATATCTATATCATGCGTGCATATAAATTATGTAATCCAGTCATCTGATGGGCCTTTTGTGTTACTTTCTTTATATGTCCTTAGCATAGCATACAGGTCTAAATACCTGAGTGTCCATGAATAATCTTTCTCTTGCCTTTTAAAACAGCAAAAAAGAAGAATAAGAAGGGGAAGACCATCTCCCTAACAGACTTTCTGGCTGAGGATGGGGGAACTGGTGGAGGAAGTACCTATGTCCCCAAACCAGTCAGCTGGGCTGATGAAACAGACGACCTGGAAGGAGATGGTAATTTCTCTATTGCTGTACTTAGAATTGTTGTACTTGAAATTTTCCTTGTTTTCTAGACAACATGTTATTCCATTCTCTGATTTATGATTTGAGAAGATCTTGTTCCTTTTATTGAAGCTGAAATCTCTGTATTTGAGAGTATTGGGTTTAATCTCAAGTTGCTTATCAAACTCTGTAGTAGGGGCATGAAGTTATGAGAGTATTGGGTTTAATCTCAAGTTGCTTATCAAACTCTGTAGTAGGGGCATGAAGTGAACTTCAGGAGAGCTTTGTGCCAATCCCAGCTATTGCATTAAGACTTTTCTCAAGTTCCTTTTTATTATTTTTTTTATATTTTATTTTTATTTTTGTGTGTGTGCACGCGTGTATTGCCTGCATGTAGGTACGTGCACCCATGTCGTGCAGTGCCTGAGGAGGACAGGAGAAGCTGTCAGACCCCTGGAACTGGAGTTACAGACAGTTGTTAGCTGCCATGTGGGTGCTGGGATTCAAACCCGGGTTTTCTGCAAGAACAGTCAGTGTTCTTAACTGCTGAGCCATCTCTCCAGCCTTGAGTTCCTGTCTTCTTAGCATTATTTTTCTTCACTTGAAGACTAGATTTATAAGTTCCTTTTAGGTGTAAGGTTTTATGGTTTCCTCTTTTTTCTAACATTTTATTATTTTTATTTTATATGCATGAGTGTTTGCCCATATGTGTGTGGGGGCACCTATGTTGTGCAAATACCCAAGGAGGTCAGAAGAGGGCATCAGATCCCCTGGAACAGGAATTATGGGCGGTTCCTAGCTGCCATGTGGGTGCTGGGATATGAACCCGGGTCCTCTGCAAGAACAGCCAGTGCTTCTAACCGCTCAGCCATCTCCAGTCCCTTATGGTTTTAAGTGATATTGTAAATGTGATCTCTACATTGTGTATACTCAGGGACTATTGGCATGAATTTGAGGTGTTTCTTTAATATTCTGAGGTTAAAGCATAGCCAGAAACAGAAAGGAACTGGTTGATTGGTTTGGAGGTAGTGTTACTATGTAATCTGGCCTGGAACTTGGTGTTTAGACCAGCCCACCCTCAGACTCACAAAGATAGGCCTATGCCATGATGCCTAGCTTAGAGCTTTTTTATAATTACCAGGTTATTAATCCAATCACCATCATTTTTTTCTAAAAATTTTTATTACAGACTGAATACCTTGTATGGTTTATTTTCTTGATGGAAACAGGGAATTTGATATAAGTTACACTTTAAGTGTTGAAATTGGAGTACAGGTTCAAAGACAGGACTGTAGGGAGAGATTTTTAAGGATCAGGGATATGAAACTAAGATAGTTTGTATCAGCTTATTGTTGTTAAATAAACCTTGAGGAAAGCCTGGTGTGATGGTAAATGCCCATAACTGGGCATTTGGGATGTGGAGAAAGGAGGAACACAAGCCTGGGCTACAGGAGACCCTGTCTCAGCCAACCAGGATGAAGATACTCTGTCCAGCCTTACAGTGGGAATGTGATCGTGTCCATCCATTGCTATGAATATGTTTGGAGTAAAAAGAATCCAGATTTGAGTCATAGTTGTACTATTTTATTGTCATATTGTCAGAAACCTGAACTATATTTTCTGTAGAATGGGGAACAACTTCACGGGATAAAGTGTGATGTGATGAATGTAAAGTACTTGGCATTCCTTAGATAGTTGGTACTCTTACTGTATGTGGAATCAGATAGAACAGGATTCTGTTAACAATCTGGCCTTCAAAGACCTTGAGTTGAGATACACAGAAATAGACCATGAGTACTAAGTGTTGTTTTGTTTTTCCCTTTGTTTGCTTTTTTGATTATAACACTGCTGTAGAAACATTTTCTTTTGTAAAGCTCTTGTTGCTAAGCTTCCACCTAGTTTGGTCTGCACAGCTTTTTTGTGGCTAGGCATCAGCAGGAATCTTGCTAATTCTTCATGTGTGTGTGTGCATGTGTGTGTGTGTGTCGGTTTTTATGGAGGATTTGGAAGTTTTGTTTTGGTGGAGGGTTTTGTTTTGTTTTCCCCTTGACATAAGAACTCACTATATATATGTAGCCCTGACTAGCCAGGGATTCACTGTGTATACCAGGCTGACCTGAAACTTTCAGCCATTTGCCAGCCTCTACCTACCAATGGGATTGATTACACGGGTCACCGTGCTCAGCTGGATTTTGGGTTGTTGAGACAGGATCTCACTCTGTAATGCAGGCGAACCTTACTGTCACATTGATCCTGGTGTCCCAGCCTCTTTAAGTGCTGAGATTACAGGCGTGCTCCACCACACTGAGCTTTGTCTTAATTCCTTTCATCTGCTCTTCTACCCTAGTGTCAACAACTTGGCACAGTAACGATGACGATGTGTATAGGGCACCTCCAATTGACCGTTCCATCCTTCCCACTGCTCCACGGGCTGCTCGGGAACCCAATATCGACCGGAGCCGTCTTCCCAAATCGCCACCCTACACTGCTTTTCTAGGGAACCTGCCCTACGATGTGACAGAAGACTCCATTAAGGAATTCTTCAGAGGATTAAATGTAAGAGACTGCTAGCTGGATGTTGAAGGTAGTGCCTAAACTAAAGTGTTCCTGTTGTTGTTTGTTTTGAGGCAGGATCTCCCAGATGCCTTTGATTGGAAAAAAAGAATGTAGAGGGAAGCAAAAAGGGGTGGAAAGCATACACTAATTCATGTTAATTTTGTCCTAGCGGTTAAATACAATATGGTTTGTGTCTTCTACCGGTTTTTCTCCTGCTGACATCCAGGTTCTTGGCATGTTCTTCAGAGAAATTAATTACATACATACTGATCTCTTTTTTTTTATCCTTTTGTTTCTTATACGCAGATCAGTGCAGTGCGCTTACCACGTGAACCCAGCAATCCAGACAGGTTGAAAGGTTTTGGTTATGCTGAATTTGAGGACCTGGATTCCCTGCTCAGTGCCCTGAGTCTCAATGAAGAGGTAATGAAATAAAGGGTGGAGGTGAGGGATGGGCACTCTCAATTCTGTTTATTAACCAGATCAAGTCACTACAGTGACATGGGAAGTTAGGGAAGAAGCACATTACTGAGTTTCTAATAAACTAACTCACTGCTTTGCTTCACTTCTATGGTTTTGCTTTTTTCAAGATGCGCTGACTTGATAAAGGCAAATAGAAAAGTAAAATAGTTTAGAATAGTAAAACAGAATGGTAAAATAGTTTAGTATTAAGTAGTATTTCAGCCAGGTGTGGTGGCACACGCCTTTGATCCCAGCACTCAAGAGGCAGAGGCAGGTGAACCTCTTTGAGTTTAAGGCCAGCCTGGGCTACATAGCTAGTTCCAGAACAGCTGGGGCTACAGAGAGACCCTGTCTCAAAAATACAGGAAAAAAAAAAAAAAAAAAACATTATTTCAGAGTGTAACTAGGTGGTAGAGTGCTTGGCTGGCATACTGAATGCTCTGGGTTCAGTCCCTAGCCACACAAAAACTATTACTTCATGCTGAAAGTTGAGTGTTTTTTAATTGCTTCTTTAAATTTATTTGTATGGGTATTTTGCCTGCATATGTGTGTGCAACACCTGCATCCATTGTCCACTAATGCCAAAAAAGAGTTAGGTCTGGAGTGGTTCCAGGTGCCATGTGGGTGTTGGAAAGCAAACCCTGGTCCTCTGCAAGAGCACTGCCACCTCTCTAGCCTCTTACAAGGTGTTTTCATGATTGAAGAGGGTTTGACAAACTTCTTCACTAGGAAATTGTTTGTAATGTGTGTTTTTCTTGAGTAATTTGATTCACAAGTATGCGCCATCATGCCCAGGTAGTCTGCTTTTTAACACTACTCATAAATGTTTCCCCATCCACAGACAGGACAGGTTTATAAATGGGAAGGAAGTGGGGAAGACTTTTGTGCTCTTTAATTCCAGAAATATTTCCCCTAATCACTTCTTAGAAACTCCATTTCCCATGCCATAATTCTGTAGTCCAAACCTGTCATTGGTATGATTGGAAATAAACAGCTCTTAGAAATAGTTTCACTGGGGCTGGAAAGATGGCTTAGCAGTTAAGAACACTGGTTGCTCTTGCAGAGGACCCAGGTTCGATTTATTTATTTTAGTTCCAATCTTTGCCTTTAAAAAGAAATATTTTCACTGTCATAATTGAGTACCATAATCTGAAGTCCACAGAGTGGGACAAAAATTCATGTTTCCAGACAGATACACTGGCTCACAAAACCTGTAATCTCAGCATTTGGGAGATAAGATGCAGAGGATCAGGAGTTAACAGTCATCTTCCCCCATATAATAACTTGTTCAAGGCCAGCCTGGCTAGATCCTGTATCAAAAAAAAAGAAAAATGTATTTACTTCAGAGTATGAGGAGCTGAGGTTATTGCAGGGGGATTTTGTTTTGTGATCCTTTGTGGATTTTACAAACATCACTAATCTTTAACTTCTTTCAGTTTAGATAAGGAAAATTAATACCATGCAGTTATTATAGTATTTTTAATTAAATGACATTTAATAGAATTTGGAGTGTTTAGAATGTGTTACCCTTCTTAACTATAAATTCTACTATAAAATGATGGTGAAATAAACAGTAAAATTGATCGTGTTATAAATAATAATTTGGGAAAGAGACATCAGGGTATCTATCCCTGGAGGAACTTGAATTGTCTAAAGGTGATATTGAGTGAAAACTTGAGATTATATATAGACAGTAAACTCAGCTGTTTTGCTGGTCTGTGATTGGCCTCTGTATTTGAATTGCTGTGGCACCAAACATGCTAGCTTATTTTTTATTTTCTTACAATTGTTTTGTTTTGTTGGTTTTTTTGAGACAGGGTCACCCCATAGCCCCAGCTGGCCTGGAAATGACTACGTAGGCCAGGCTGCCAAGTGCTGGGATCAAAGGTGTGCGCCACCACACCGGCTTTTGTATGTGTGCATGTTTTGTTTTAAGCTAGATCTTAAAACAACCCTCCTTAGTACTATAATTGCAAGCATGTACTTCAGTGCTGAGCTAAACATGCCAATTTATTTAGCTGATTGAGAATTGTTTTTAATTTATTATACTTAATAAATTGCCAGAGTTAATTCTGGTCTATGAATTTTGGTGTTGAAAATAGTAAGAGTGGTACATGCCTTTAATCCCAGCAGAGACAGAAGGATCTCTGAGTTCAAGGCCAGCCTGATCTACATAGGAGTTACAGGCTAGCTGGAGCTACAGGGAGACCCTGTCTCAAAAAAAGACAAGGAAGAGGGGGATAATTGAGGCCAACTTTATTCATTTGTTAATTTTTCCAAGTTTATTTTAATTTTCAAGTCTTCATAAAGGATTCTTAAGCCAGCAAATTGACAGTATTGGCTAGTGGTTTTCCTTTATCTTCCCCCAGTGCTTCTGTTATGCCCAGATGTTCAAGGTTACTCATGCGATTTGTACATAGTGAGGCAAAAGGTTGGTTAATTTGGTCCTGTGCTCTTAGTCTTTAGGTAACAGGAGAATTCGAGTGGATGTTGCTGATCAAGCACAGGATAAAGGTGAGAAAACTGGTAGGAATTTTCAGTTTGGTAGCGGCCCAGGGATGACAAAGTAAAAATGTTCTTTCCCAGGAAATTGTAATAGAGATACTGAACCGTAAAGTAACAGTTCTCAACCAATTTTATTCACGGGAACTTTTGGCAGTGTTAAGGGGGGTGAGATTTTCAAAACTGAAGGAAATGCTACTGACATAGAAGATATAATCCAGAGATAAATGCTGTCATGGATGGAACAGCCCCTCCACAAAGAATCCCCAACTCAAAATGTTAGTGATGTAAAGGCTACAAAGCACTGGCTAAGTGGACTTTAATCTACAACAACTAGATTTACTGTCTGTCTAGTAGTCTTGACGGATAAGCATTAAACCAATAGACATACGTTTTGAGAAAAAGAATAGCTCAGTTAATTGGAGAATGTAAGTACAGGGCCTGGGCCACTTTATGATGGTGCAATAGAAAGTAGAACCAGTGAGCTTTAATGAGAGGGAACTTCTATGTTTATGAAGAGTGAGCACTGTTTCGGTGAGCTAACTTGTAGTTTCGTTTTACTGTATCTATAGACAGGGATGATCGTTCTTTTGGCCGAGATAGAAATCGAGATTCTGACAAAACAGACACAGACTGGAGAGCCCGTCCTTCCACAGACAGCTTTGATGACTACCCGCCTAGAAGAGGGGATGATAGCTTTGGAGACAGTGAGTTCATTTTACAAGTTAATTTTCTTGAGTGTTCTTGGTCTATTTGGGCAGGAAACTAATTATTATTACAGAGGATCACATTAGGAGTTAGAAATTGGGAATGACTTAAAAGTTTCTTTTGTTATTTTGATATTATCAAAAGGCAATGAATGCAGAAAAGCAATGTGATTTTCCTGATTTTAAAAAAACTTAGCAAAAGCAGGCATGGCAGTGTATGCCTTTACTACCAGTGCGTGACGGGAGGCAGAAGCAGGTGGATCACTGAAATTGAGGCCAGCCTGGTCTACATAGTTCTAAGCCAGCTGAGGCTATAGGAAGACCGTGTCTCAAAAAGAAAAAAAAACTTAACAAAAGGAACAGGCACACAGTTGTTTATAAAGACACATAACTGGGCAAGGGAGGTGGCCCACACACTAAAGTGCTAAAAGTGTTGCCTCACAAGCATAAGGACCTGAGTTCCACCCCCAGCACCCATGTAAAAAAGCCAGGGATGTCAGCATATACCTATAATACCAGCATTGGTTAGGCAGATACAAGATGGATATGTGTACTATGGCATACACATAATAATCCCAGCTACTCAGGAGGTTGAGGCAAGGTTCACAGGTTCAAGACTAGACTAGGCAACACAGTAAGGACCCTTCCATCATCTCAAAAAGAAAAGAAGCAAGTTGGGCATGATGGCACACGCCTTTAATCCCAGCACTCGGGAGGCAGAGGCAGGCAGATCTCTGTGAGTTCAAGGCCTGGTCTACATAGTGAGTTCCAGGACAGGACAGCTGGGGCTACAGGGAGACCCTGTCTCAATAAATAGCCAGATGTGGTGGTGCATGCCTGTAGTCCCGAAGGAAGGAAGGAAGGAAGGAAGGAAGGAAGGAAGGAAGGAAGGAAGGAAGGAAGGAAGGAGAAGCAGTAGTTACAGAAATAAGATCCCCCATTTGATCTGCACATACAAATTATTAGTCTCCAGATTATTTTTTGGCTTATTTAAATTAGTTGGTTCGTACTTAGAAATTGAGATTTGTCACATAAAAATGTAGGATAGGGGTTGAGACAGGGTTTCATAAAACTGAGGATGAACTTGACCCTCTTAATCGTCCTGATTTACATTCTAAGTGTTGGTTTTATGGTCCTGGGGATAAACCCAGAGCCTCAGGCACACTGAACAAGTATTCTAACTGAGCTCTATTCCCAGCACTTATCAGGGAAATTTGTAAGAACTCAAATAGTGAGAAACTTTTAATTCACAAGTGCTTCTGCTTTGGAGGTATAATTTATCTTTATAAAAACTGAATCTATGGTGAGGAAGGATTCAGGAACCAAATTGATCTAATGAGCTACCTTTAATAACTGAGAAAAAGGAGCGGTGTTACCTGTCCTCTGTTCTCTCTAGAGTATCGAGATCGTTATGATTCAGACCGCTATCGAGACGGGTATCGGGACGGCCCACGTCGGGATATGGATCGCTACGGGGGCCGGGATCGCTACGATGACCGAGGCAGCAGAGATTATGACAGGGGTAATTATAAATACTCAGTGAAAGTACTTTCAGGAATTCTTTTTGCCTTTTTTGCTTCCTGTGTGATCATAATTGGGAATTTGTTTACAGGCTATGACTCCAGGATAGGCAGTGGCAGAAGAGCATTTGGTAGTGGGTACCGTAGGGACGATGACTACAGAGGAGGTGGGGACCGCTATGAAGACCGCTATGACAGACGGGATGATCGGTCGTGGAGCTCCAGAGATGATTACTCTCGGGACGATTACAGGCGAGATGACAGAGGTACTGATTTTTCTCTTCCTTCATGAAGCACAAAACTGGAAAATTGTGGTTGTAAATTATATTTGTGCCCACTTCAGAGACTTGAAAGAAAATTTATACATTGTAAAGGAAACAACAGAGCATAGAACATTGGATAAGAATGGCATAATGGAAATCAAACAGAATTTAACTCTTCACCTCCTATGCCTTTGCATATAGAGTCTTCAATTAAAATTATTTAATAAACAAAAAAGACATTCTTCTGTTGTGATTCTGTTGTTTTTAAAGTTAAGAAAATGGAATTCAGTATCAGCCAGGAATTGGTGCTATAAGGTTAGAAACAAAATATTACTGATGTTAGTGTACTTAGGCTAAAATTATGTCCTTAATTATTGGAACAAAACTGTTAAATTCATTCTATGAAATAATAAGTGGTCACATTTTACGTTAAGTACAGTGATGCCATCAGAAAGATTAGGACACGTGGCCTCTAATTGCTTTCTGTCCACCGTGTGTTGTAAAGCCCTGAGAAAGGGGGTAGACCTGATGTATAAGTGAGAAAGATGGCTCAGTTGTGCACTTCAAGTCTCCTTGACTCCTGGCTGTTTCCCCTTAAATTGTTCTTTCCTCATTATCTCCCTTCCCTTCCACATTGACCCGGTTAGGTACAGGCTCAGCTTTCAGAGACCCTTAAATGCTAACGGTACGGAAACCTTCATAGAACAATCCTAATACCTTATTTATTTATTTCTATTTTGCATGTATGTGTGTACAGGCATATATGCATAGCGATTGGGAGACAATTTGAGGAAGTCGGTTCTTTCCACTATGTGAGTCTAGGGATTCACCTTCACCTGCTAGGTCGTCTTACCAGCCTGTCTTGTATCTTTCATATGAATGGATCTTTTGTAAAGCTTAATATGCAGTATTCTTTTTAAATCCTGCCAAATTGAACTTTTTATTTACTTTTTTGTCTTTTTGAGACAGGGTCTCCCTGTAGCCCCAGCTGTCCTAGAACTCACTATGTAGACCAGGCTGGCCTTGAACTCACAGAGATCCGCCTGCCTCTGCCTCCCTAGTACTGCATCACCACGCCCAGCCTAAATTGGACTTCTTATAGGCAGGGAGGAGCATAACTGTCGTCCTGCAGCTTTTGCACAATATCTGAAAATAGGTACTCAGTGAATTACTTATTGAGTAGGTCAACAAATGGACTTTCTTCTAAGGAAAAAGAAGATAGTATTGTAATGTGGGGGATCAGTGGAGTAAGTCACTACTCTGCCAAATATTGGCTGTATAGTTTCTGAGCCCATTTTATAAACATAAAAGTAATTGCCCCTTCACAAAGTTAGGTATATTGAAAATATAAACTGTCAGCGTAAAGCCCTGAGCTGGGGAAGACGGCTCGGTTGATAAAGTGCCGTATGTGCATGGGGAACTGAGCTCAATCCTGGCATCCTCATAAAGCTGGGCAAATTTGTAATCCCAGTGCTAGGGAGGAGGCAAGTAGATTTCGAGAACTCAGCAGCTCAGTGGCCAGCCAAGCCAGCCTACCCTAATCAGTGAGGTCCTCTGGGTCAGAAGGACAAGGTGGATAGTTCTCAGGGTCCTGAGGTTGACTTAGCCTCTGCATGCACAAACACAGAAACTTTATATAAAGAACATTTAAGGGGGCTGGAGAGATGGCTCAGCGGTTAAGAACATTGAATGTTCTTGCAGAAGACCCAGATTCGAATCCCAGCACCCACATGGCAGTTAACAACTGTCTGTAACTCCAGTCCCAGGGGATCCGACAGCCTCTTCTGACCTCTGCGGGAATTGCATGACACGGGTGCACTTACCTACATGCAGAGAATATACGCATACACATAAAAAAGAAAAAACATTTAAATGTAAACAGTACCTTGTTTTGTTACATACATACATCATGTAGTAAAGGTATAAAGTTATGTGTAGGCATGATAGATACCAATTTTCAGCATCTAATGGTTGTGAGAAGGCAGCTCAGTTGAGCATAGATTATTTCATTACTTAAATCAAGTGGTTGCATTTGTAAGCTTTCTTTTTCAATTCCCTAGATCTTTCACATGGATAAGTGATAAACACGAATCAGTTTTCTGGACTGAATGCTGCTCAGTGGTAGAACATTATCACGCACAAGGCCCTGTGTGTTTGATCCTGAGCAAGGGTGAAAAAAAGAAACACAACTTCTTTAACATTTAAATTTATCTTGAAAGCCTTCTGGCAATTTAGAGGAAGAATCCTTCATAGAGCTTCATACAGAAGTATAAGAACTAGATAAAGAGTCTCGCCTTGGCTTGAGAACTGGGTCAGTATGTAAAGTGCCTGTTGTACAAGAATGAGAACCTGTCTTCAGAACCCCCAGCACCCACATCAAAGAAAACCAGGCATGTTCGCATGCCTCTGCAATTGGGAGGACGGAGGTTGTACAGGCAGATCTCTAGAGCTCTCCAGCCAGCTTGGAGAGCCAACCAGTGAGTGCTGCATTGAATGAGAGACCCTGTCTCAAGATAAGGTGGAGTGCAATCAAGGAAGACACCTAATATCTCTGGCCTCCTTGTGTGTGCCCTGCCCCTCACACAAGGCTAGCATCTATCCACCTTGTCATTGTTACCAGGTCCTTTTAACCTGTTGAAGATGTTCAGCCTCAAGACTAGATCCTTAAACAACAACAACAAAAGCCTTTGTCCCAGTAGTTTATTGTAATCAAAAGTTTCTTCCAAGGTAAAGTAATTCCAAAGTCTGGTTGTGCATTTTCAGTAGGATAGAGAAAAGTTATGGAACTTCATTATTACCAGGCAGTCTTCTATCCACCTCCACTGGACTGACCAGGCCACTGTGCAAATCCCATACAGCTTTTCCTAAGAGCTATATCTGGGAGTCTGGCTTTCAGCTGTCACCTTCTTATGATTTGGGAACTGTTACTTAGAGTTTCATTTAACTTAGGTCCCCCCCAAAGACCCAAACTGAATCTAAAGCCTCGGAGTGCTCCTAAGGAAGACGATTCCTCTGCTAGCACCTCCCAGTCCAGCCGAGCGGCTTCTATCTTTGGAGGGGCAAAGCCTGTCGACACGGCTGCTAGAGAAAGAGAAGTGGAAGAGCGACTACAGAAGGAGCAAGAGAAGTTGCAGCGTCAGCTGGACGAGCCAAAACTAGACCGGCGGCCCCGGGAGAGGTGAGGGTTTCTTCAGTTAGGAGTTTCCCACGTGTGACTTCAGTGGGGCAGGGGAGGATTTGGGAAATGTGTGTGATTATTGGTTGTCACTGAAAAGTGCTCAGTGAGTGGAATGTTAAAGCAGTCTGCAGTATGTGGGTCAGTGTCACACACTAAAGACCTTATAGTCCTTGAAGTTTTCAAAAGACCTTGGGCCACATTTGCCACAAATAGATAACTGGTAGTAGTAAGCAAATTGTGTCTGTTTTTAAATATTTTATTATGTTTGTTTATGTGTATGAGTGTATTGCCTGCGTGTATGTGAGTGCACCCAGGGTGTGCAGTGCTGTGGAAGTCAGAAGTGGGTGTTTCATTCCCCTGGAACTGAAGTTACAGACGGTTGTTAGCCACCGTGTGGGTGCTGAGAATCAAACTCCGGTCCTCTGTAAGAGCAGCCAGTGCGCTTAACCACTGAACTCTCTCCAGCCCCTATGTCTGTTTTTATTTTAAAAAATAATCAGCTTTATCTAGCTCTCACTACATTTATTTGGAGAGAGTGTCAGAGGACAACTTGGAGGAGCCAAGACTTTCCACTCTGTAGGTCCTGGGGATTGAACTCAGGTCATCAGGCCTAGTAGAGAGTACCCTAACCCCAGAGGCATCTCACTCACCCTGTTTGTTTGTTTTTTGAGGCAGGGTTTCTCTATGTAGTCCTGGCCGGCAGAGATTGGCCTGCCTCTGCCTCCAGAGTACAGATTAAAAGCATGCTCCACTATACCCAGCTATTTTAGAAGAATGTTCTTAACCTCATTAGCTAATTCTTGGGGTATTCCAAACCAGCATATGTAATTTTTAAAGCAATGTGATAAAACATTTTTAGGGCTAGGTCAGTAATGTACTTGTTGTGTAAGTATGAGGACCTGAGTTAAAAAACTGGGTGTGGAGATGCCTGCTTGAGTCTCCAGTGTTTGTACGGGTGGGAGACGCAAATCCCAGTGGGCAGTTGGTCTATAAAATAACAGTGTCCCAGGATATTCTCTGACCTCCACATGTGTACATTCATACAAACGTGCACACACACATACACACAAACATTTATAGATGTTGACTAGGGCCCATAGTAGTCCTTAAGTAAGCCAAACCACTATAAACATCATGTTTTGTTTTGATTTTTAATCTCATTGTGTAGACACCCAAGTTGGCGAAGTGAAGAAACTCAGGAACGAGAACGGTCGAGGACAGGAAGTGAGTCATCACAGACTGGGACCTCAGCCACATCTGGCAGAAGTAAGTTAGACCAGGGTGGGTATCATATTACTATTTTCCATAACCAAAGTATACAGAGGCTTTGCAGTGTTAAACTCTGTCATAAACTTGAGTTAGCAAGGGCTGATTGGGTTTTCACATCTCTTGCCTATAAATGATCTGTTAATGATCTGCCACTAGGCAGAATACTTGACTGTTAGATTTGTCTCTATTTTCTGTCCCTTTTTTGTGGAGGAGTAGAGTCACGTTTCACAGCATGGAAATCAGAGGATAACCACCCTGTGGTTCTAGGGATTGAACTTGGGTTGCCAGTCTTGGTGGCAAGTGCCTTTGCCTGCTGAGCCATCTTACTGGCTCCTGTTCTCTGTCTTGGCAGTGTAGTTTTGTTTCTCAGAACCACCAAAGTACTGGAGGCTGAGGGCTCTTCTTGGGGGTAATCTTATTTGATGCTGTGTTTAGGCAGCATCAAACATTGTTCTCAAGGGATAGAACTTCAGTTTTCATCCTCTAGTTACTGATTTGTTTGTTCACAAGCACATCTAGAGATGAATGACTCAGTTACAGCACTTCCGTTTCCGCACTTACTGTGGCCCCGCTTAGTAAGATCTTTCTACCTTTCTATTTACTTGGACTTGAGCATTTCAGAACATCCCAAGGTCAAAGTGTAAGAGTTTTCTGGAAAAGTTTCCTGTTGAAGTAGCCTCTAGCATGATGGAGTGGGGCTGCAGAGATGGCTCAGCAGTTAAGAGCACTGGCTGTTTTTTGCAGAAGACCAGGTTCAAATTCCAGCATCCACATGGCAGTGAACATGATAGAGTGCTCCTTCCTGTGTTAGATGTGTAGTGTTGGGTTGATTTGTATACTTGTATATAGATTGCACTTCACATGTAGAAAGCTGCCAAAATAGGCTCCAAGTTCTAGGTAGACTCTTGGGCCTTTGAATACCTGTGACACTGTTCTGATTTTCATTAGTGTATGAAGGCAAGTTTATCACAGTCTGGTGTCTGCCAAACTTGAGTTGGAGTCAAGCAGTGGTTCCTGGAGTTTCATTAAGTCCTATTCACATATACATGAGTGCCTTTCCCCAGTTGAGGCTATCCACTGAGAAGATAGGGAAAAAAAGAATGCTCATTGATTCCAAGGAAAGACCAGACAATTGTCCTTTAAAGTATTTTTTAGGTGGGCGTGGTGGTACATGCCTTTAATCCCAGCACTTGGGAGGCAGGGGCAGGCAGATCTCTGTGAGGCCAGACTGGTCTACATAGTAAGTTCCAGGCTAGCTGTGTCTTCTCTTGTGTCCCAAAACCATTTTTCTCCAAATGACTTTTGGAAGCCTTTGGCTTATATATAATTGCATGTATTAGGAGCCAAATTAATCTTTGCTTAATGATGAAAAAGAGGAAGTGTGACCATAGACCACTTCCTGTTCTGCTGCAGTCCTTGGTAAATGCTGCAGTCTCCCCTTTTTTCACCTTGATAATTCATCCTGCTCCGACTTCACAGATACGCGAAGGAGAGAGAGTGAGAAGTCTCTAGAAAATGAAACACTTAATAAAGAAGACGACTGTCACTCTCCAACTTCTAAGCCTCCCAAACCTGATCAGCCTCTAAAGGTAATGCCAGCCCCTCCACCAAAGGAGAATGCGTGGGTGAAGCGGAGTTCTAACCCTCCTGCTCGATCTCAGAGCTCAGACACAGAGCAGCAGTCCCCTACAAGGTGAGTAGGTCCTCAACAGCAGCTGGTTAGTTAACCTGGAATTGTGCTGGAAAATACCCAGAGGGCTGTTGCCCTTTTATAATGTGTTACAAATTAGGTTGCTTTCCCTTTGTAGTTCACATTTAGTGGTGTGCCAGAGTTGGCTCGTAACAGTAGTTCCGTTTCCTTGAGTTTGGTTAGCCAGTTGACATCACCTATGACAGTATTTATGCCACAGAAATCCCCCCGCCACATCCCGTCAGTGTGGCCATTGAGCATAGTTTTATTTTGCTAAATCTTGGATCTTTTGGTTTTCTCTCATTTGCTAACCTTGCTGAGTTGTGATGGTTCCAAAGTTTATGGCACTTGAGTATAGAAATGACAGCTTTTAGTGTTGTCTTCCCCGTACTTTAATGTCCCACAATGTTACAGGCACGGGTTCATGTAAAGGTTTCTTGCCTGTTTTCTTTCCCTGTGGAAACTGACTGCTGTGGTTACTTGTTTCCTTCTAGTGGCGGAGGGAAAGTAGCTACAGCTCAGCCATCTGAGGAAGGACCAGCAAGGAAAGGTGAGATATACCAAGGTAATAGGTTTCCAGTTAGAAGCCTAAATAAAAACCCCGGGTCAAGGACATTGCCCCAGCAGTCAAGATTTTAAAAAAATTAAAGTTGCAGTGTTTTTCAGTTTTAAAACGTTTTTATTGGCATATATTAATTATATATAATAATGGGTTTCTCTGGCATTTTCATACCTGTATATAATGTGTTTGAGTCATTCTCCACCAGCAGCCTGTTCCTCCCTCTTGTCTCCTCCAGCTCCTACTCATCCCTTTTCTTCCCAGCTAGCTCCCCTCTGCTTTCACCTCTGCCCATGTGTCCCGGTGGGTTTAACTGGGTTCTTTACAAGAGTATGAGCACCTTACAGAGGCCACAGTGCTGAAGAAAATGCTTTTCCCTTCCTCAGGGAAGTCAAGAAATTTTCAGTTTTGTCTAGGTTTTGTGGTGTTCTTTTGACACTCGGGCAGGGGTGGCCTCTTCAGAGAGAACCTGAAGCTGGCTCCTTTCTGGTAAAGCCTTTCTTTGGTAGGGGAACTGGGAAGAGATAAGCATGTAATAAGTACTGTTTGGCCTATAGTTTTGGTTGTAATATGGAGGACTTGGTCAGAAGGGCTTTAGGTAGCTAGTTTAGTGTGAAGTTAGCCTCCCTTGGTACATGTTTTCTTCAGCTTAAGGGAAATCTAGATGGAGCCAGGTTATCTTATATACTTGAATTTGTTTTGCATTTCTACTTAAAACAGATGAAAATAAAATGGATGGAGTGAGTGTCCCCAAAGGCCAAAGTGGGAACTCCAGCCGTGGTCCTGGAGACGGAGGGAACAAAGACCACTGGAAGGAGTCAGACAGGTGTGTTTTCTTGCCTACAAACTTCTGATGTTAGAATCAAGTCTTTATAATCAAGTTCTTGGCTCTCCAAGCACTACCAGGTCTCCCATCATGAACAAACTAGTCACAGTTACATGTGGGGACTCTAGAAATAATAGTGTCCCAGTAGCAAACTGCTGACTAGAGGTGCCTGTGCAGAACACAAATGGCACATGTGCCATATGCATTGGAGTCCTTTCTCTAGAGGTTGTCTTATGCTTGTGTTTCTGCAGGAAAGATGGCAAAAAAGATCAAGACTCCAGATCTGCACCTGAGCCAAAGAAACCTGAAGAAAATCCAGCCTCCGTAAGTGCTGCGGGCTTGCTCTCAACTTCTCTTAGCTCAGTTTTCCACTAGACTCCTTTATATTGGAGACTGCAGAGTGGGTGGAAACGGAGCATTGGTGTCTGTTGAAGTGAGAGGAGCTAAGCGGGCTCTTGAGTTACTGTTGCCACCTTTCTTGGCTCTCATTCCTCCTGCAAAGTAAAGGGGATATGGATATGCATGGTTCAGAAGCACTCACGTGTCTCTGACTCTCCCTGGCTCCTGCCATGGCAATGCTACACACCCCAGGGGTGTGGATGTGGTCTAGACTCTCATCCTCCACTTGCCAACACATCAGCGTTCTGTTTCATGGTTTGGGTGAGAGAATCCAAGGCTCCCATTACCATTTCCCTTGTCTCTTACAGAAGTTCAGCTCTGTGAGCAAGTATGCTGCTCTCTCCGTCGATGGTGAGGATGAGAATGAGGGAGACTACACTGAGTAGACCTCCACAACCTGTGCTGTCTCCTAGTCTTTCCACCCTGGAATATTCAAGAGCAAATCAAACCTCTATCCAGACAAGACACAATAAAACTCACCATCTCCTGAAGACCTTTCTTAACTTTTTTTTTAATGAAATGAAATTCTTTTGCATGCTGCTGCAGCCTTTTAAAGTATTGAAGTAACTGGAGAATCACCATTGTAGCCAGACAGACAGTGGCTTTAGGTCTTGAATGGGAAAGTTGTGATGTGTTCTGATACTAAGCAGTTGCCTGTGCCTAGCTGGCTCCGTTTAGCAGAAATGGCAGTGACAGTGAGACTGGGTCAGATCAGTCGGGCAGTAGAGAAGGTACAGGAAGAATCAGGTTTCTATCTTTAATTCCTATCCATGGTGGCGTATGAATTCCCAAACATCTGAATAAATGTCCCATCTTTGGAAAGGTAGATTTAAGTCTCCAGGAGGCTGCCAACCCATTTATTTTAAATTCTGACTTACTGGGGCCAGCATAGGGGGAATTTTTTTTTTTTTTTTTTACCCCCTAAGGGGGTAGTTGGAAGTGAATCTACAGGCCACTAACAAGTAGTACTGCTTGGGGACCAAAATGAATGGGTAACTCAATCGTGGTTTGAAAAGCTTTGTGGGGAGGTAGGTTATTTTACACTGGGTAGTAGAGGAAATGGTGTGACCTCCAGTTAACACGGGGATGGTAAATGGTGGATTCCTGGAGGAGGAAGCACTTGGGTCATGGGCCATTCCAGTCTTGTGCATCCTGGTTTGCCCCTTGTAAACACTGTCCTTTCTAAAAGTTCAGGCATATCCACCTTCTGACACCTTGTCACTCTGGGCAGCTCATGTTCTTGGCACCACATACCTGCCCTCAAAGGCATTTTATCTCAGCCACCAGAAGTTGTGGCCTAAGAGATCACTGCTCAAGGGAACCAGCTGTGATGTCCTTGGTTGATTGCTGTTCCTTCCCTCTGTCCGTACCCACTCCTGCTGCTTTGACCCCTTTGTAGATCAGACTGTTTCAATTGATGGACTTGGGTGGTGAGTAGGGGTGCATAAATAGGGACAGTTGAATTGGAGGTCTTTCTACAACCTTGATTGGGGTGTTTTTTAAAGTTTACTTCACTGAAATCCCATGCCAGTGCTTGGATTTATGTGACCCATGTGTGGGTTTCTGCATATAAGGGTTGGTTTCTGGCTTCCCTTGAGAATAAAGGCTAATGAAAAGAACTATTTAACATGGTCCTGGTTTCTCTTACAGAATGGTAGCTTGGCCTGTCTGCTTTGGTGTGCACCTTTGTAGGGTTAGCTCTGAAGATGGCAAGCTTCCCCACTGCCAGCAGTTGGTGTTCCTGCGGATAAATGAGAGTTTGGTCTTATTTGCAGGCCCTAAACTATGTCCTGCCCTCTGTGCCAGGATTTTGATTTAGTGTGCTGCAGCAGTGGGCATAGCAGACTGCTTATCCAGTGGACTTGATTGGCTAGTAGCTAGGAAGTGAGCTTTTAGAGAGAGACCCAAGGTTCAGTAGGCTTTTTAAAAACCATTGGTTGTAGACAATGAAAAGGTAGTTTGCCCTCTTCATGTCTATTTTCCTTACAAACAGTTGCATCGAAAGCTGTTTTGTCCCACTCTCCGACCTTATTCCTGTTAAATGAAAGCAGGGGTTGACTTAGGTCCCGCTCCTGAATACATGTAAAATTTGTATAAAAATATCTTCTATGAAAATGATTTGTAATCTGTAGACATTACTTGGGAGATGTCTTGAGATGTAAAATCCCATCCTTTGGGTTGTGGGTTTTTGTTTTTCTCCAAATAAATCCAATCTTTAAAGTTGATGTTAACGCTGCAGTTCTTCTAAGGTACACCCTTTCCTGTGCTTGGACGAGGCTGCCCTGCCCCCCAGTCTCCGTACTCCTTCGGGCTTGGATAGCACTAGTTGCCCTTTTGCATAAAAGGAGAGGGTAAGCTATCAGGCATGCACCTCAGTACATGAGCCCCAAGAATAGCTATGCCTCTAAGCCAGTAGTTTTTGCCTACAAAAACTACAGTGTGCCTATGATCTAATCATGTGTAGGAAGCAAGGCCTATCAGGCCAGCCACACTGCGGAGTTCCACACAGCAGGCTGCTCTGGAGCACCCCTACAGAAGCACAGTTCTTTCTGAATCTCACCTCAGATTTAATGGGAGTTTTTCAAACAAACTGGTCATTGTTGGCAGGGCAGGAAAGGGGTCAGGACAGTGGCAGAAAAATTCCTGAGGTCACAAAGGAGGTAGAGTACAGAAAGCCCAGCATAGTTTGGGGGGCCTGAATCAAGGATGAGGAGGGGGTGAGCAGTAACACTGGCTGCTAACCATCAAGGGCAGTTTGTAGCAAGTCCACTGATAACCCAAAATGGGCAGAGGTAGGTCAAAATCTCCCAGACTAGCTGTGGTTCATGAGAGCCTTTCAGTGTAGTCAGGTGGGGAGGTCAAAGTGCTGCTGCCCAGGAGCCAGTCTCCATAACCTAAGATCTTTACCCCAGGTGGGATCACAGGGCTAGGAAAAGGGCAGTAAGAAAGGCTTTTGTTGGTGGCGCAGAGGGAGGGACTCCCTGCACTGTTTCCTAGGAGGGTCCTCTTAAAATAGCCAGGTTTTGGCATGGCTACATCCTCATAACCATGTGTGGAGACTCCCCAAAGGCCAGCTGCAGGAACAAGGCTGGTCATTACTCACTGCCTGGCTCAGTGCAGACAGGATATGCACTTGACAAGGTTGAGTCTAGGCTGGGTACACTCTAAGCCACATAGCCTGGTTTCTCCTAACCAAACCAGGCACTGTGCCCTAGATCCCGGCAGTGAAGGTCCCAGTTTGCACTAAGGGTGTCACCTCAAGTGCTCAGCATCTGGTTTCTCAGGAGGTGAGCAAGCTACACATTTGCTCTTGGGAAGCAATATTTGACAAACTAAACCTCGTTTCTCAGCAACCATTATAGCCCCCAGGGCCACAAGTGAAGGGGGACTTGTCTTCCTGCCTCCCCAGAAAAGATTGGAAGAGACTGCTGCTCCCCGCCCAGCTACAACAGTCTCCCCGTTGGACAATGCTTGCTCTGTCCTCAGCCAAGATCCGCCTCAAGCTGGCTCTGCCCCTCCCCCCACACACTCTTCCTGGTTCCCAGTTTCCAGATCTACCACCGAAGTTCTCCTGACCTGGTGGCGTAACAGGACAGCCCACATGCCCAAGGACCTGAGTGTCCTCAGTCACAGGCATGAGATCACCCCCAGACCATGGAAGAGGGAGTTCTACCTTCTGTACCAAGATGGGCCTCTTTCTGCATAGTCAAGGTAAGAACACCTGTGTAGAGGGAGGTTAGAGGGTGTTGCAGAAATGAGTTCACCTTCACACACAGCAGCCTGGCTCTCATCTTCCCTGATTCCCATCCTGCAATCAGGATGCCTGGGTGGCTCTCCTAAACCACCCACTTTTACTCTACCTGCACCCTTCTGTTTTATCTTCTGCTCAACATTTCTTAACACCTTCCCTGCTGCAGAATCAAGCCTGAGCTGGGGAGTCAATCCACACACCCCCAATCCATCCACTTCAACACCTAGAAACCTTAAAGTTCCTCTCTGTGGCTGGGCAGGGTACCAGCCTGACGTGAAATTCTAGTCCCACCCACCCTTGGGATCCATTCAAACTCCTTCCTGACTTTAGAAATTAAAACCTACTTCCATGGCTTGCATCCCAGCCAAAGCCCTGGGAAATGTTGGGAAGGGCAGGGTGTTAAAAGTGCTAGCTTCAGTCTTCAAAGAAATAAACTTCATATTTCATGTATCTCAATTGTATAACCAAAACACAGAGAATGACCTTGAAAGCCTTCCCTTTCCCAGTAGCCTCCAGTCCCTGTCATTCTCCTGGCCCTTCCTCACCTGCCTCTTACAAGAAAGCCAATCCCTCATCAACGCCTCTCCAACTATTCTTCCAGACCCCCGGGACTCGGGACTCACCCCTTGCCAAACACCAGTCCCTATAGAGGGCCTGGCTTTCACAGTAACTCCCTCACCCCACCCCATTGGAATCAGCCACATTCCCCAGTAATCAGAACCAGACCCCAGCCTTTGCCAAAGACAGTATGAGCAGACAGGACTCGGCTGAGAGCTAGAGCAAGGAGGCCCAGTTGGCTTTAGCCGGCAGTGCTGTGCTGCTTTTGGCAGAAACCTGGCACTGAACGTGGGGCACTGCCCACTTCTCAGCACCTACTGCTCCACAGTTTTCATCATGGAAATCCCGGCCCGGAGGGCAATGGCAGAAGAATTGAGAACTGCTAAAAGAATGCTGGGGAAACAGAAATGGCAACAGGTTCAGCGATTCTAGGAAAACATCCCTACCCTCAACCTTCCCCTCCAGGGTGACACAACTCAGACCAGCAGCATGGCCCACCAGCTCGACTCCAGAAGTGTCTACCCAGTATCAGGCGCTACAAAGAAAGGGAATGAGGTTACACTATCGTAAGAACTTCCATTAGGAAGCCCTTAGAAACATGGCCCAGCTTCCAAACTAGGCAATCGGGGCGATGACTAGAGGTGCGAGGGGCTTGAACCTGCTTAGAGTCCTCAGTCCTCAGGTCCTTTGGGAGAAGTGGCCCACCACAAGGAGCACCTGGAAGCGTGTCCTGAGATGTGGGACACCAGTAACACCAGGACTCTAAGCCCGGCACCTCCATCAGGTGGTTCTGACTAGGGTCAGACCAGATTCCGAATTCGGCGGGTGCAGAAGCGGCGGAGAGAGAGGCTAAGGTCCCCGGGCTGCTCTCCGTACCCTTGTCTCGTTCCCTTTGGACCTGTGTCCACCTTTTTTTCTGCATCTATGCGGCTCCAGCGTTTCTCTTCGCTCGTGTCTCCCACCTTTCCTGGGCGTCGGTCACCATGTGCGGTCTTAGATTCCCGCGTCCCGGCCTCTTCCGACTCGTCTTTCCGCACATGTAACCGGCTCCGGCTTCGCGGCCCGGCCTTCCCTCTGCCCGCCGCGAGCGGTTCGCGGAAAGGATGGTGGGAGGAGAGGAGGAAGAAAAGAGGCGGCGCGGGCGGGGAGCGGGCGGAAGGTGGCGATTGGAGCCCGGGAAGAAGGAGGGAGCCGGAGGGCGGGAGGAGGCGGCAGCCGCGGGCGCAGGGCGCGGCGGGAGGGAGCCAGCCGAGCGCCCCTGCCGCCGCCTCCACCTCCGCGTGCC